CTCGCTTCGTGTTCGTTCCTCGAGCACTTTGTTGGGAGTTCCACTCCCACTCTCGACCTTTCAAATTAGAGCTTTTAGTCCAAACGTGTTATGCTCGTTTAGCTTTCGCTTTGGCCACTACCACATGGCACCCTTCCGGCTCCATTTTGGGGCTTAGGGATTTTTTGTCTCACACCTAGAGGCTTGGTGTGCTTGGCTACTTGTGCTTGTGGGGAATGTAGCCGAACCTTAAGTCCAAGTTAACCTAGGAAGGGGGATTGGGAGAGAATTTCAGAATTTATAGATGAATGGCTAATGCTCTATTATTCATATAGTGAGTTGCTGAAACTAAATAGGACCGAGTAGAAGTTAGTATAATAAGCGGGAATTTTAGCAAGGGAACTTAACTAAAGCCAAGGTCATAGTGGTCGGATAGACGAAGTAAATTAGCAAATTAGAAAAGAAAAATTTATAGCTTACAATTTAGTATCAAAGCCTTTTCTTTAGTTCTAGTAAAGGATAGAGGTAGATTACTAGGAGATGGCTAAGGCAAGGCATAAGAAAACTAAGGCAGAGATGGAACCTCTTCCAAAGTTGGAGTCTCTAGTTGAATAAGAAGTTATTTATAAGAAATCCTTGCATGAGGAGACTCTAGTGAGGAAACTTCCAAACAAGAGTTTGGTGGTGAGGTTTAGTTGTACAAGGTTCAATTGGATGTTTTAGATGGATATTTGGCATAGACCAATGCCTTGTTGGAAACCTTTGTATGCAAGCTAAAATGTGACAAAAAGCGAAAGAAAAAGCAAAAGACTGTAGATGTTTATAGTGCAAAATGCATGGACCTTTTGGCGAGGACTAAAGTGGAACTGAATAAAATCAAAAAAATTAAAGTGGAATCAATCCCTCAAATAATTTCCAAGTACAAACCAAAGCCCCTACCGATCTTCAAGGGATTGAATGACTATAAGATGGTGGAGAATTGATTTTATGATATAAAAGATTACTTTTAAGTGTTGCAGTTACCGAGCTCAGAGAAAGCCCCATATGCTAAACCATACTTGACAGATAATACTAAGTCTAGGATGTAGGCCAAGGATTTAAAGGTAGGGCAAAGTAAGGCCAAAGACTCTTACTTAAACTTGGTGTTTACGAGAGGACAACTCACTAAAGGAACCAAAGTAGTATTTTTGTGTTTACTCTCAGTGAGGAGTGACAAAAAGATGAGAATAAAAAAAATAACTTTAGTGATCCAATAGATGTTAGACCAATTTCAAGATACTATACTAAAAGAGTTATCAGCAAGGTTACCCCTCACACAACCGATAGAATATAAGATCGAGCTAGTCAATAGTGTTAAGGCGATGGTTCATCCCCCCTATCAGTTGAATGAAAAGAAACTTGAAGAGCTCAAGTGCTAACTTGAGTTGGTGGAAAAAAGGTATATTAGGCTAAGCAAGTCGCTGTATGGGGCACTGGTGTTATTTGTAAAAAAGAAAAATAGCTCTATGTGTTTGTGCATAGATTATTAGTTGCTCAACAAGTATACAAAGAAGAAGAAGTACCCTTTACTAAGCATTGACAACCTAGTCAATAGGCTAAGAAAAGCAAAATATTTCTCGAGGATTGACCTAGGTTAGAGTACTACTAAATCAAGGTAGCAGAGGAAGATGTTGAAAAGGCAACTTATTGGACAAGGTATAAAAGCTTTGAGTTTCTAATAATGCTCTTTGGGCTGTGCAATGCACTAGCGATATTCTTAGCACTAATAAATCACATTTTTGTACCCTATCTGGATCATTTCATGGTCATCTACATTGATAAAATCTTGATCTATAGCGAAACACTAGATGAGCATGTCGAACACTTGACAAAGGTTTTTGAGAAACTAAGGGAACACAAATTGCATGCTAAAGAAAGCAAATTTGACTTTGCTCAACAAGAGGTAAAGTAAACAATCTAAAGGCATGCCAAAAGTAAGTTAATTAACATAGGTTATCTAGGTCCACCAGGCGTAAAGAACTACATACAGGGATGTTTAATCCATAGATGTATTCTACAGAGGTTGGGTTTGAGTCCCAACCCTCTAATAAAGCAAAGTTAGGTTCAAATCCCAACCCATACTAGAGCATGTTGAGGTGAGGGGTATAGGGACATCTATATTCCATTGTCATAGGCTCTTGGCTGGGGAGGCTAACTTAGGCATACCGCTAAGTGGGGGGATGCCCCTGGAGACATAGTCAACAAGTTGTAGGATTAAAAAGAGACATGTATCAAACTTCTATGAGTGGTGGAGTTGTAAGGAACTAACTCTTTGAGATGTCGTAGGTTAAAGAATCCCCAAAAGCACAACCGAAATGATAAAAAGTTCATCAAATGAGACCCAGTTCGAGATCGAGTTTGAGACTAACTCTGAGATCGAGTTCGAGACCAAATCCAAGATCAAATCCGAGACTGAGTTTGAGACCAAGTTTGAGACCGAGTATGAGATCCAAGATCAAGTCCGAGACCAAGTCCAAGGTCGAGTCTGAGATAGAGTCCAAGATTGGGTGCGAGATTAAGTCCAAGATCGAGTCTGAGACCAAGTCCAAAACCAAGTCTGAGGTTGAGTCCGAGATTGAGTCCAAGATCAAGTCTAACACCGAGTCCGAATACCAATACCAATACAAGTCATGGGGTGAAAGCCTAAAGCGTATGTCTCCCGGGGGGGAGGGCATTGTAGAGGGTTCCAAAAGTATAGTAAAGATAGTGATGTTTAGGAACTAGTCTTGAAAGAACTCTCCAATGATGCTTTCAAATTGATTTGAGGTTGAGATTGGGGCTTAGAAGCCTTGGGTGGAAGTGAGCATGGATTTGGGTGGTGTTGGAGTGGCCACCCAAGGAAGTGCTTAAGAGAAACTCTCACTCCTAAAAGGGAAACTCATTGCAATGCTCCTAACTCATATGATGTGATGCCCTATTTGAATACCTTGTGGCTCATTGGTCTTCGCCCTTCCTAGGGGTTTGGCCTTCCCTTCAAGATGGAAGTGGGGGAGTAGGGGTACCTATACATAATATAATCAGAAAAATGATCAATAAAACGTTTAAGATATTGCACCTTACCATAATGGTAGCAACACTGGAAATATCCTCCTTAGCTTTTAGTATCTGAAAGAACTTAAAAGCAAGTATTATGTGAACCATATTTTATTTGGTGAACCAATACCCCAAACAATCTAAGAGATTAGTAGTGTGAGGAAAAATGGTATATATTTGAGATAATCATATTATTAAATAAACATTAGTCAATGCTAAATTGAATACTCCTTAAGGTTCACACACCCTAATACTTTGAGACTTTTGAATAATAGGCCAAGATCTTATGAATGGATATCAAGAAAATGTTAGAGAAGGGTCTTTTGGTGACCGATGCCAAACTAAATTTTTTATTGGACAAACATCTTTAGTAGGAACAAAATGATATATTACAATCTTAACCCTATAAAATAAATCAAAGTTGAAGAAATTAATATACTTCTTCTTGAGTTGGTCAAATGCAATAGCATAAAGACCATCTAAAGGGTCTAGAAAGGGAATAAGAGTAAGAAGGAAATTCAATAAATAATAATGAGAAAATAAAAATGATAGAAGCAGAAGTAAAAAAAAAAAGGATGAAGTGGAAAACAAATGAAAGGAATAAAAAGACATAAGGGAATATGAGACAAGTTAAAAATTTGATTCAACACTACCTTATGATCACCAATACATACAATTAAGTTCACATTGTCTCACCCATTTGCATTTGTACTTTCATTGTTATAGAGAATGAAGATTGGCTCTACTACACAATATAAATGTAAATAGGATATAGCAATAGGCTAAACAATAGAAATAAACTCAAACCTATTTTAACTAACACATGAGACTTTTTATTATGAAAATGAGTTTAGAAAGTGAATATTGTATAAACTTTTGTCAAGTGAACCCTTTGGTGGTAGAATGGAGAGGTCACTAACTTATTTGTAAAAAGACCCTCTATTACTTCTATGACTCTTTATTTTTTGAAAAAATCTTTATATCAAAACCTTTCACTACATTGACACCAATATGATATTGTTGAACCAAGGCCTTCATTTAGCAATGGAAAATGCTATTTTGGGAAACATTGGTACATATGGCCAATCTTATCATACAATCAATAGCAAACATCATAGCCACATCCTCATCCTTATCTTCATCATTGAACACAAGCATTAGTAATGTCAACTTTCATCAAAACTAGATCATATTTTATAGGAAATAGAGTTGAAGCACATATAGCTATAAATGGGAGAAGTAATGTTTCATAACATTATATTATTCAAAGAATGTTGGGAAGGGTGGTTAAACTAGCATATGTATAAATCCCATCAAATTTTGGCAAAGTGTTAGTCATAAAATTCCCAAATTGATTCACTTTGACATATTTGGTTTTGCACAAAGCAAGAAGCTTTTAAAGTAAATACTAAATTACATAATGAACTTAAATGGCACTTGACAAAGATGATACACTCGTTAGAAGATATCATTATAATTATCAATAAGTCCAATTGCACATTTAAAAACATCTAGGAGAAGATTCCAATTTGTATGGGTGGTTGCACTTAGACCATAATAACTATTACAATACTGTCTTTGAAGACAAGTGGAAAACTTATATAAATGCTAAATATCATCCCAAAAAATGATAAATATAAATCATTACAAATTAATAAACCCAATGGTACACATCATTGCTAGAATTCCCATAAATGAAATCTACCACCTTCATCAGTGTTCTCGATGGCTGGAAGGGCAAAGGAGAACATGGGAGAAGAATCCACGACCAGGTTGTGGAGAGTGGATTTGGATCCAACACGATGCTTGCCAATGCTCTGGTTAGCATGTATGGAAGCGGTGGAAGGGTGGACGACGCAAGGTACGTCTTTGATGGTATAGCTGAGAAAACAGTGGTTTCCTGGAATGCCATGCTAACTGCGTATGCACAGAACGGGCGCTATGGCAAGGCCGTGAATTTGTTCTGGGAGATGGACGTTGCTCCAGACAGTGTGAGCTTCGTCAATGTTCTTGGAGCTTGCATGGACATCGAAGAAGGAAGATTGGTCCACGAGCATATCAAAGCCAGTGGATTTCCGGTAGACGTTCTCGTATCGACTAGCCTGGTTAACATGTATGGGAGGTTCTTGAGGCTGGAGGAGGCCAAGCAGTGTTTCGAGCAAGCTCGGGAGAGAGACAGAGTCTGCTGGAACTCCATGGTTGGAGCTTACGCACAGAACGGGTGTGGTTTGGAAGCGTTGCATCTCTACCAGGAAATGAGGCGAGCTCTGGTGGAACCGAACAGCGTCACTTTTGTGAATCTTCTTGTAGCCTGTACTGCTACGGGGTTTTTAGAAGCGGGCAGGAAGATCCATGCCGAGGTTGCGAGCTTGGGGCTTCTATCGACTCTCTCAGTGGGAGGAGCACTTATCAACATGTACAGCGAGTGCGGTGACTTGGATGGAGCAGTACAGGTTTTTAAGGAGATGCGTCAACTCGGAGTGATGCCTTGGGATGCCTTGATCACGGCATTCGCTCACAACAGGTTCGTCAGAGAAGCTATCTATCTCTTCAGCAGAATGAGCCTCGAAGGTCAGAAGCCCAACGAGCTAACGATCGTCAGCATCCTTGATGCATGCTCCAGCGGCGGTGCTGTAAAACAAGGATCGGCATTCCATAGATGCATTGGCGTCAGCAGCTCCGGCTTGGACGTTTCTAATTCTCTTGTCAACATGTATGGTAAGGGAGGGAACTTGGTGCTTGCCAAAAGCGTTTTTGACAGCGTGCCTCATAAAAATCTCGTCTCCTGGAACGTTCTAATCGGTTCTTATGCAGGGGATGGAGATGGGAAGGAGGCCTTGGGAGTCCACCAAAAGATGGAACTGGAGGGACTGAAACCGGACAAGTTTACATTCATTTCGGTTCTCCATGCTTGCTCTGCGAGTGAGGCCTTGGCTGAAGGTAAGGCGATTCATGCTCTCATTGCAGCGTCGGGATTTGATTCCAGCTGCTTCGTTGCCACGACACTAATAAAAATGTATGGCTGCTGCAGGTGCATGGAAGAAGCAAAAGCTGTTTTTGATAGAGTCGCTTCCAAGGACATTGTTTTATGGACTGCTTTGCTCACGGCGTACTCTCGAAACGAGGATGCCAAAGGGGCGCTTCTTGTCTATCGGAACATGGACTTGGAGGGAATGGAGAAGAACCGGTTCACATTTTCCTCCATCGTCAGCGTCTGTGCAGATGCAGAAGCGCTTGCTGAAGGTCAGAAAGTTCATTTGCACACCGTTTCTGTGGGGTATGACAAGGATGTCATTGTAGGCACTACTCTGGTGGATTTTTACTCCAAATGCCACGACGTGGATACTGCAAGAAGCGTCTTTGATGGCATCGAAGGCAAGGACATCGTACCTTGGAACGTTATGATCACTGGATTTGCTAGAAACGGCCACGGACGAGAAGCAGTCCGTCTTTACCAAAAGATGGACCTTCCACCCGACAGCTTGACGATGGTAGGCGTTCTTGCGGCATGCTCCGGCCTGGGAGCTCTCGAAACAGGAGAAGTTTTGCTCGAGAGAAGCGGCTTGGAAAGAGACGAGGCTATTGGCACGGCACTGATAAACTTATACGGCAAGTGTGGGAGTCTGGAGCAGGCACGGAACGTCTTCCTCGACATGAAATCCAGGAGGAACCTTGTCACTTGGAACTCCATGCTGGCCGCGGCTTGCACGAAGGGTGGCTTGGAAGATTGTGTGGAGATCATCCACATGATGGGCTTGGAGGGGATCATGCCGGACGAGTTAACGTTTCTCAGCGTCCTCTTCGCGTGCAGTCACGGTGGGTCGATCCAACAGGGCCTGGATTTGTTTCTATCGGCTGGGGTTGATTATGGGATTGCGATGAACACCAAGCACTACGTGTGCGTAGTAGACATCCTGGGACGAGTAGGCAGGCTGGAGGAGGCACAGGAGGTACTAAACAGGATGCCCTTCCAAGCCAACGACGTTGCATGGATGACTTTGCTGGGAGCTTGCCGGATACATCGTGATTTTGAGCAGGGGAGGCGTGCTGCCGATTATGTTATAGAGCTGGATCCACAAAACGCTGCTCCATATGCTTTGCTCTCCACCATGTTCTCCATGGCAGGCAGGGGTCGAATGCCAGCAAAAGGATGAAAGCTAGCTCATCGCTTGGTTCTCGTTTTTGTTAGTGAGATTTTCTGCTGAGAGATTAATGCCATCACTCCCGAAAAGGTGGTTCTTCCATCCTTCTTTCATCAACTCCAAGCTGTGTGATCCATTGATGTTAAGATCATTGATTGGTAAGTAGTACCTAGTACTAGTTGTAACATCTTCTAGTTTGGATCTACCTAAAGCTGCCTATTATTTTTCTTCTTCTCTATAGTGAGCCCAAACATTTCAGAATGTAAACACACTTTATACCAAGGTGCACACCTTAAACAAGTATCAAAAGTTATTTGTCAGCAATAGATATTCTCTCTGCCACAATGGTAACGGCAGGGAATCTATATTGTTGGTTTTTTTTTAGTCCCTCTTATTTAAAGTATTAATAAATTGGGCTTAAAATTTGTACTTGGTTAGATAAATATAAAGTAAAAACTCCTATGTGTTTCTTGCTGAGTATACTCAACTTAGCTTTTAGTTCTTTTTTATTTTGTCTTACATTAATTTAATAAGAATCTTTATATATTGAGCTTTAGTCACTACAGTTTACTGTGTCCACCACATATTATTGCTATCATGCCTCATTATTCCTATGTTTAGCATTATTCCATATTTAGTAATTTTTTATAATTGTCCTAGAGACATGCTGAAATAACACTTGATTTCGTTTAGGTATATTTTGTATGCTAGTATTAGAATTATTCCAATGTCATTCTATGCTCATTCAGGCTGTATGTTCAAGAGTCATTTTGTGCTCAGATTCCTTTACTCCTTAACTATATATTTGGGAGTTTAGTTTTATCCTGGCTTAAAACCCTAAAACTCAACTATTTTTGGCCCATGTGTTTAAAGGTTAAAGTTTCACTTTATAGTTATCTTATAGTAAATTACTATAGGGTAAAAGTTGAAAACCATATACACTCCTAGCATAAATTGTCTTTCTTTTTTATCAATTGTTATTAAACAAGTGCTTTTTTTTAATATTCAGTTTTTTCTTTCTCACTTTTTTTTCTCTTCCATTTTTCTTATTTTCTCCTTATATCCTAATGCTTCAATATTTTTTTTGAAAGAGGGGCTAAAAGAGACAAATGGGCTTAGTGATGGAATAAGAATGAGCAACAACAACATTAGAGTAAGGATATATAGTACTAAAGAAACTAAAGATCTCAATAATAGTATGGATAAATCAAAAGATATATATATGACAAAATAGGTTAAAAAGACATTTTAAATATTTCTTTATATACCTAACTTGCACCTGAGTCACTTTAGACACTATATTTAAGCTTTGATCCTATTGTAGACAGAAACTAATAGAAGAAATTATACTTTTCACTCCTAGTAATATGTATCTAAACCTGAACTTTGATAGCAATAACTTTCCTTAAATCCCTATATCTCATTATACTTTTCTGGACTTCTAAACTATCAAACTTTTATGAACACTATTCTCCCAATCCTTCCAAATTATTTTAACTTATGGCTCCATAGACTTGGCTCAAATATGAGCACTCCACCAACACTAGTTATCTATTAGTGGCATCTTCTACATCCAATTTTACTACTATTTGACATCTTAAGAAGCTTGCACTGTGTGAGATGATTGGATGCATAAACCATATAAATAACTTCTTGATTAAACATAGTTTATAGTTGTTCATCATACTCAAAACTTCCTAGTGTGCGCATATGATCATGGGATGAGATTTGGATATACTGTCACCATGGATCTTTCGAACCTTAGGGGATAAATAGGGATAAAATAGCCACTAAAGGCTTTCTCATCAAGCAATTGCCCATTTTCCAGTTAGTTTAAAGGGTGAAAAATAAAGTGTGCTACAGTTGGTATTGGAGCAAATAGCACTCCAAACCCATTGCGCTACAAAACAAGGGTCCAATATAATCCCACGAGCACCAACTCTCTGTATCTAGCACCTACACACAAAATGGTGTCAAATGGAGTTTGGCACAATTTTGGCATACCGGTGGCCTAACGTGAGGAGGAGGGTACCCCACCAACTAGAGCAGCGTGGATCTTGGGCTTAGACCCAAGCCAGATGCAGAATAAGGAGCGACACAGCCCAGTAGGAACCAAACTAATATCTCAGATAGTCAGATATGCAATCCAACCACTATCTCTACTATCATTTGGAACCCCCCACAGCGGCCACCCCTCCCTCCCCCTTGAGGGACACATGCTTTGGGCTTTCACCCCAAGCTTCCTTTAGTACCAGGAGTTAGTCTCTAGGACAAGTCTGAAACTTACTAAATATAGAATGTCCCTAGATTGCGAATTTGGACACGGGATGAACACCATTGTGTTCAGGCTGATTTCTACATTTTGTAGATGAGCCAAATGAGCGAATCTAGACACTTTCTATAAATAGCATTTGGGACCAAAATGAGACTAACACAAAGAGCATGATAGCAAGGGTGTTTGGCAGACACGGTAAACTATCATTTAGCAAATATTGAGGGACTATTTGTAAGCGACTAATTTTTCCATTCTACTTTAGTCACTTAACCACACCTTCGACCGCTTGGAGGAGTCTCATTCACAACCCCCTTAAGTCCAATTCAGGACTTGGGGCTTGCTAGCCCAAGAATAGCATCCATGCCACTCATCACTTGCACTTAATCCAAGTGCTCCACATGTCCGGTCCCAAGACCGACACCCAAAGGCACCACTGACATATCGGCCCGTTACGCTAAGGCCATGCCCATTCACCTTTGCCGCACTAGTGGTCCAATACCACTTGCATCACAATCCCGTCTCTCCAAGACTGGGCCATCCGTCCACGAGTGGTCAACCCAGATCCACTCTTTAGCATCCTTAGGATGCCCACAGACATGGGGAATAGCCTTCCCCAATATCCCTTTGTCAGTTCCTACCAAGTCCCTTTTCTGTCCATGGCCATGTTCGCCAACACTGCCACTCGATCAAGGCTCACAGGCCCGACCACTAAGTCCCATGGTCCTCCGGGACTTCCTCACCATGTGACTGTATCCTTAGTCACCACACTAGAGAACTGCTCTTCCTCCTTTCTCCATTTGGGACTCCGGGACAACATTTCGAAACACCGTGGGCCTATGCGAGCCCCGTGGGTACTCTCCCCGCCTTCCGCCTTTAGGTGCTCTAGCCATGGGCTTAGAGCAAGGTTCTATTGAGCCACGCCTGGTATCCAAGTAGGTAGTGCCACCCACACTTGGACTGGGAGCATCGGCCAGTCGATCTCCCGGAGGAACTAAAGCCGGCTCTTGAACACTTCACCAAGCTACCCCGCTTGTCGGTCCATATTCACTCTAGTCTTGGACTTCCCAGTGGTTAGTTCATCACCCAACACTGGGTCAGGCCCTTCCTGGGCCAAACTGGCCTTTTCTGGCCAAACTGGCTCCACTGTAGTCCTCCCCCTTACTATACTTTTGGAGCTCACCAAACCCCCTAGGGTCTGGGAGACGAACGCTTTGGGCTTTCACCCTCTCAGACTCAAACTCGGACTTGGACTCGGACTCGGACTCGGACTCAGACTCGGACTCGGGCTCGGGCTTGGTCTCAGCCTTGGCCTCGGTCTCGGTCTCGGTCCCGGTCTCGGTCTCAGTCTCAGTCCCGGTCTTGGTCTCGACCTCGGACTCCATCTCGGGTCCTTCTTGGACTCCATCTCGGTCCATCTCGGAATCCATCTCGGACTCCATCTCGGACTCCATCTCGGACTCCGTCTTGGTCCATCTCGGACTCCGTCTCGGTCCACCTCGGACTCCATCTCGGACTCCATTTCGAGTCCATCTCGGACTCCATCTCGGACTCCATCTCAGGTCCATCTCGGACTCCGTCTCGGTCCACCTCGGACTCCATCTCGAACTCCATCTCGGGTCCATCTCGGACTCTTCCACGTGTCATGTGTTGGTCCTTTTTGGGTCCCTTTTTGGAGCCTTGCTTATTGCTCGCTTCGTGCTCGCTCCTTGAGCACTTTGTTGGGAGTTCCACTCTCGCTCTCGACCTTCCAAGTCAGAGCTTTTAGTCCAAATGTGTTACACTCGTTTGGGCTTTCGCTTCGGCCACTACCACGTGGCACCCTTTCCGGCTCCACTTTGGGGCCTAGGGATTTTGTGTCTCACAACTCCACCACCCATAGACGAAGTTCGATGTCCTCATCGAACGGTAAACCATTTTATAAAGTAACACCCGCACGTGTTACCATTTCCATCCTTGGCCCCTAGCCAATATTTGTCAATGGTTTGACATTGAAGGCTCACCATGCCTTCTCCATATTCGTCAATGGTTCGACACCAAAGGCTCACCATGCTTTGCCCATCCTCTAAGGAGGATAGTCTCTCCAACTTAGAGACTCACTTGACCACCTGGGGTGGTTTGCTCCTTTTTATTGGTTCAGTTCTTACTAAACCCGTTAGAGACACCCTCTCTAACTCAATTCCACTACTCATTTTTGAGTAGTCACAGATTCCATTGATCTACCTTTGCACTTTGGAACGTTTACTCTTGACTTTTTGGAGTCAATTTCCTAGGTGTCTCCGACACCTTGCTTTGCACATTTTGTGCAACTCCACTTCCCCTCCTAGGAAGTTCTCTACTTGAGGCACCCTCATCCTCTTTTCTATTTTTGTGCCACCATTGGCATTACGTTCCATTTATCATTATTTGTGCTAGGGCTGTCCACGGCCCTATCTTTTGGCTACTTAGTTGCTCCCTCACTTGGAGCCTTTCCTTTGCCAAACTGGAGCACTTGGGAATCCATCCTTGGAAGTCCACTTCTTTTTCCGCAATCCGTTAGCATCAAACACATTAGTGTTCCTTGGCTAACTTTGCCACTTGGATTCTTTCCAATGGATTCCACGGCCCTATCTTGGGCACTCATCTTTTGCTCCTATCCTTGGATTGTTGCACCAAGCAACATAGGATCATTACCTCCCTCCTTGAGGTATTCTTTTGGTTCCATAGCAAAGGATCTACTTTGCCCAGACTAGGGTGTTCA